AGCCATCAGCCATCAGCCATCAGCCATCAGCCATCAGCCATCAGCCATCAGCCATCAGCCATCAGCCATCAGCCATCAGCCATCAGCCATCAGCCATCAGCCACAAGGTGAGCATAGAATGTGTGTCCACCGCGTTCTGTCTCAAGATTGCTCGTTACCAGTACCGTCGCAAACAGTACAGTCCAAACCGCCCTTTTTACCGGTGCCGTTGCAATTGTTGCACGGCTTCATGGTTGCTATATTTTGAGGTTTCTAAATTAAACGTCAACCCTGTGCGTAATATCTGGGACCTATTGTTACGGACCGGACCGGGAAGCATGCATGTGGTGCCAGATAGCAATAGATCACGATGAATTGTCTTTACAGAAACTGCCTTCAAGGGGAATGCGTGGTCTTTATAGTTGCTGACTCACTCAGTGCAGTGAATGATGGCTGCCGGAAAATACCGCAAAGAATGTCCCACGTGACATTCAAGGCGGGGCTCTCGTTGCCTCTGTCATGGTCTTGGCCATTCTAGTCTGTTACAGTTCCACCAACCTAATCACGATGAGTCTACCAACCCAAAACCACCAATTGCAGTGTACGACTTGCTCCAAAGTTTTGGTAATGGATGAGGCTCGACGGACACCTGTTCTAGATTTGCTTGTAAGTACTTGGTACCGCGTTTCGTGCAGTTGCCTAACCTAGTAGTCTCTGGTCGACCAAGTGCAAGCGTGTTTGAATGACGCACAGGCCTGCATCGATAGTGCCCTACCTGCCCTGAATCAACTTCTACCGGCTGCTCAAAACATCACATCTGGTGTTCCTATTGAGAGAACTCGCAATGACTCGGCCTTGGGAGATATTCGAAGCCTTAGTGGCAAAACGCGAAGGGCGCCAGGCGATCGAAGCGGCGAATGTCCTCACGTCGATTGCTCAGACAAACTAAGAACGACTTTCACACAGCCAAAGAATCTCGCACGACATTACACGCGTCGTATGATCTTTGTCCCATCGGCCTAGCCTGTGATATTAACAGTCCGGCGACAGATCTTCCATGCAATGAGCAGTGTATCTACTGTTCTGAACGCGCGACGGACGGGAATGACTACATATTGCACCTTCAAAGGTGTAAAACTGGGTCGGCGAAAGCCTCCCAGGAGGATGTTATCAGGGCAGTCAAACTTCGACAACAACTACTAGACAAGGCTTGGGACGATCTAGGCAAGCATTCTGGAAAAGTAGGGCGCCGGCCCAAAAAAAAGACAAAACGACGTCTAGCACCGACACCGTCTCCTCCTGCTTCACAAGGTGCGGAAGATAAAGCTCCTGCGAGAGGTTATATGCTCAAATTCCTGACGCACTAATAGACAGTTATTCATCGCCTACTCCCGCTCCGGAGCCGTCTCACTGTCAAGCAAGTGCTGGTAAGTTCATACTACCATGGGTGCTTCCCAGGGTTGACCGTCAACAACAGACTATCCCGACAGGCGGTGTTCGACCGTTCCAGGTAACGAACCGGGATTGAACGACAATCAGCGTGGAGATCCTCAAGATTGTGTTGTCGCTCCGGTGCGCTCGTCTCATTATTTGGCGGACTCCTCCTTTCAAACGCCAACCGAACCAGTCGATGCACAGCTTCCGATAGGTGGATCTCTCGAGCATCTCCTTCGACCTAACTTTGCCTCCTATACCATGGATATGGACATACCATATGAGGGGCAGGCTTTTTTCGCACCCCCACCAACAAATGGGATCCACGATACGGTTGACAATGCGACGCCAAGTGTCTTCAATTCATATCCTACAACAAATAGTGCTCGGCTCGGCTCTTTCCATGCCGCTTCCTACTCCAAATACCCTCAGATTCCGTAACCAAACGCGGTGAGAGCGACTTCAAGTCGATACTAAGCAGATTCATGGGTTAAAGCTAGTTCCTCATGAGGCAGAAACGTACTTCGTTACCTTAACCAAAGTCGAAAATATAGTTCAGAATTCTGTCCGTACACTTTTTAGGCTACCTTTGTCCCTCCTCTTGAAGTATCTCATTTCCATCGGCCGGATCAAAAAAGACAGCATTTATGCCAATTGTGTCGCTAGCCATCTCCATTACTATATCTTTCAAATCTACCGGGATGGGCATCTCCTTCCAATGCGGAACCTCATCCGGAATCATGAAGCCAAGCATGATGAGCTTCCCTTCTTCGATTTTCCAGCTAGTTCGCGAGTGTACAATGGCCCTGCTACTTCGTCAGTTCAGTCAACTTGCTCCGAGAGGTTGCCTCACAGTCCACCTTCCTTCATCTCCACCGACCTAGCCTTTATCCCAGGTATTGGGAGCGCGTCATCAGTGATCGCGAAAAATCCATTCCCCCCCATCGTTGCGGGGAGGTCGTGGCGATGAGAACCAGCGTGCAAGATCATCCGTGAGCCACTTGACCAGACAAGAACCACAAGAATTCTTAGCTGAGGAGCGGGTAAAATGAAATGTGTTCCCTTCGTCCTTCCAAACTTTCTGTAAAATGCGAGTATTGAACGGTCGAAGAACGACTCGAGAACTGGCCGAACAAGCTCCAATCAATTAGAATGACGCTACGGCGGCTCTGAATGACTTACCAAGTTATCCAGAGCAGCCACCTTGCACAGACTCATTCCTTTGGCGGTCTGGATCCGGAAGTCGTCACGGACGATTTCATCCATGTGTCTGCCGACGGTTGCATCCTCCAATGTCCAAAAGCCATCTTGAATTATCGCTTGCTTGATATCCTCTGAATATGTTGAAGCCATAGCCTTGTTTGATGGTCGCGATGATTTCGACAAGAACGGTGGTGTATTCGCGGCATTTCAGAGGGCAAGGCAAGGAGCCGTGGGTGCCCAAAGAGCACACCTGACGTTGTTTCATATCACGTGATAATCAAAGATGACAAGTGACGTCGCATGACTGGGAGTGCGGTCCTCCCCCTTGTGCGAGTCGGCAGCACCTTGTTGGCACAACCCGTTCGGGTGACTGGACGTGGGGCAATCTCTCGTCTTCCACATCACCTACTGTTGTGGCCGCTTACATAATGAATCACATCTGCGCTGGGCCCCGCGAGCGCGCGCTCTTGTGAGTCAGCCGCACGGGAGGGCATCATCCTCTCAGCTCATTCAGGCAGCTGCATTGACCGATAATACCTACAAGCGCCCGTGGATTTGATTAGCTCAACATCCAGGAACGAAAATGCCAAGTGAATTCCAACATTGCTGAATGAGGAAATGTGCAAGCAGACAAGGACAGCGACTTTATCGGAGATCCGACAGTCACATTCAGGTAGTAGACGCTTTGCGCAGGCTTTCATCTTCATTTCAGCCTACCCTAACGCTTTTGATAGCTTCTTCAAACGCTGCTATGAAAGGATTGTACAGTTGATCCGGGTCTCCTGCGGGAGTTCCAAAGCTCATCCTTTCATCCTTGTCCAGGGGAAAGAGAATTTTTCTCATCCTGAGACAGAGCGGCTTGACAACATCTAAGGACGCGGGAAATTCGCCCAGAAGCCTTTCGAGTCCATCAACGGTCATATCGCCTGATTTGATGCGGGCAATGTCCGTGAAATTCCCGATTTCCCATTTCCTAAGAAGGCTTTCTTTCGGTGGCTTTTCTTCACGGGCGAATCCATTGTTCCACGACTGCCGCACACACATCCATAAAAGAACGTAAAAGAACGACTCAAGGTCATGACGGTAGGTGTGATCAGCTCTGCGCAGAACTTCGACCGCCATAAATTGCATCGTGCCCGTCTGGTGCCGTGCCCCGCTTGGACCGCTGTTTCTCTCTTTTGCCAGATCGAGATCAATGAGCATGCCCTTGAAGCCGTCTGCCAACTCCGGGTTTGTAATGATAATGTTGTTGGACGATATGTCGCGATGAAGGATATTGCCTTTCTTGTAAAGAGACTGGTGTGCCCTGATCGCATCCCTCATAGCCTCTAACAGTTCCCTGATGGTCCTGAAGCCGCTGATAACACGCCCCGCCGGCGACACTACCAGACAAGAATATATTCTGTTCTCCCAAAGGTCGTTGCCGGCCGAATACAGACTTGGCTGTGCTTTGCCCGTCGATAGTCCGTTGTTCAGCGTAGTAGCTAATGTGGATCTTTGACTATTCGACCGTCTCCTCTTAAGCCCCGATGAATTGTCGGATGTGTGATCAGATGACGACTTGCGCTTGTGACCTGACGTGTTCGTACTTGCTGTGGTCGTGCCGCCGAAATGAACAGGTTCGTCCCGGAAGCGGTGGGGTTTGGAAAATTCCAAACCCTCCCGTATCGCTGCGATTGTTGTGACTTGTCGATGCGCAACCATCGTTGCCACTCCTTTCACACCCCTTTGTTCGGCTCGTCTCAGCTGTTCCGCCTCAAGCTTCCGCTTATCTGACGCCCAGGAGAACTTGGCGACGTGGCCATCTTGGGTCTCGAAGCAAGCAGTGCCACGACACACAATGGCTCTTTGCCTGACCATTGCCTTTTCTAGCTTGATCCTTTTTTCATTCCCGTCAGCATCATCCAACGTGACATAGCGATGTATATCCCGTCGTTGGATGAACGTGTCGAGGCCCATCGCATCATCGTCCATTGTGGCATACCCGACCAGAGCTCGTGCAAATTTATCAGGCTCGTCATGAATGTCGAATGAGCCCGAGCTGTACGGCCCGGACCTGTCAAAGACCCAGAGCTCCATCGTGGAGGCGCAGAGCGAGAATGCGTGAACGAATCGGCGGGTTGGCTGGTCGGCGAAGACGCCTCGCACATATCGCGTAAGCTGGAGAAGATTCGCCTTGAATTTGCCCGTATCATACGACTTCTTTTGCTCACCAACAACAAGCACATTCTTGTACTCGAAGGCGACGTTCGATTTCGTAGTGGGTGTCTGTACAAAAAGATCCATCTGGCCTTTGCGTTCTCTGAATTGGTTGGCGGTTCTGGTGGTATGGAGCTTGTGCGGTGCGTCGGAGAGGAAACGCTCCTCCAGCGAACGGAACCAGTCCCAGACTGGCTTCTCATCTGGAGTGGCGGGGAAGCCTGTCCAGTTCTTGCCATCGTGTGCCGTCATAATATCTTCCAGCATAGCTTGCTGGGCCTTGCTCCAGCTCTTGGGTGGGAAAAACTTGTCGAAGAAACCCTTCACATCGCGAAAAGTACAGTCTCTTATTTCCAAGAAGAGTTCTCCTTCGACGATGTCGCGCGTTTCGCTATCAGCAAGTCGACTCGAGCTGGTCTTGATCGGGGTCCCTTGGAATGTCGGAGCGATGCCGGATAAGGGAGGTGTGATGGCGCCGAGGTTTTCGATGATGGTGAAGACAGCTTCCCATATGTCAATGTCGTTTCTTTCGTCAATGACACATCGGATGAGGGCGCGGAAATGGTCAGACCTCATCGAGCCTCCACGGACATGCTGTTGTATAGAGAACAATCTCACCGCAACGTTGCCACCACCTGTAGGAGAGGGGAGACTGAAAGCTGCTGTTGAGCCAACCAAGGTCGAGAGAAGACTGGCGACATCCTCCTGTCGCGGGCTGTCGGCCTCGTTGGTGTCGCGTAACTTGTCTCGAAGCGCACCGAGTGTGTCATTAAGTGGGTGTTCTGAAATGATCCCGAGATGCTTCTCTGTCAGTACCATGCTGAGATCCTGCGGAAAACCCGATTGATTGCTTAGTGCATGATAAAGAGAGGAAGCAATCGAAGAAGTGGGCTAGGGCGGAATGTAAACAAGGAAGACACGGGCCGACGCGATGAATCACGTGTTTGCAGAGGTGCGTTTGACAGCGGGCCCCGCCTGTTCGCAGCCGACGGGACACGGCAATCGAGAACTCGAAATCAGCGAGCAGCCCACGTCGTACATCTTTAAGAATGATAACTTCGTATGCTGTTCTTCGCTAACCGATCTCTCTATAATCAATAGTCCACAACTCCTTCTTTGGTGATCCAGAGGTTGCCATCCCTGTCCTTGCCCACGACAGGACTCTGAGAAAAGTCCTGGGACTTGCTGACTCGACCATGATGAGGACATTCCCTGCACACAACATCACCATCCTGATGAACTGGACTCCCCCCAGAGTCGTAACAAAGATGGTACGACGCTCCGCAGATTTTGATCTGTTCTTTGCAGTGCTTGGCAATGCAGGTTTTTTTAACGTGAACGTTATTATGATGATCGCAATACCCCCTTCAGAGAGGATGATTTCATCTTAGAGTGAGACGGGAGGTTCCGTGTAAACTGTCAAGATTGAGTGAGTCAGTGTATCATTTTCAGTTGTCGCATCTTCTTACCCTAGTCACACGTGGATGCAATTGGGGCCGGCCAGAGATCGGTACAATGGATGTCTTGGAGCTCAAGCTGTAAAATTCGCAAACAGTCTACAATCTTACTTATTTTCAGGACTCAGGAAGAGGGTTCAAAGGAATTCAGTATGTCTTAGGGCTGTTCCGAATGTTGGCATACTTCATCGCAAACCACAAACATGCAGTTAAGCGCCGGACGGCTGCTCTGTCGGATGACAGCGACCAACAACACCCAGCGGCCCATTGGCTATGGTTTGCCCCTGCGTAGGACCAGTCAAGGCGAATCGCTTAATTGAAATAGGATCACGCTCTAGCCCTCGAGTCGGGCGTACAATAGATCTCGGTATTGGTTGCGCATGCCCAACAGGCCTCTGTGGATGTAACATGACTGAGTGGCTGACACGCATAGGAAACTGTCCGCCTGGCGTTGGTAACCGTGTACGCCTTTCACCCCCGCAAGTGACGCGCGAAGGTATGGGCAAACGATCACGTGGCTACAACGCATCGAAACTCGAGGTCACGTCTTCGTCGATCTGCGCCTACAAAAGCGTGACATGCCCCTCAACCTCGAAGAGCGCGCAAGCTCGTCGGGTACGACGGATATGGACGACGCCCTTCGCCCCAAACGGGATATTGATTAACGCGTTCGTAGAGACCGAAGTTGACACTTCGGGTTCCCCACGAGACGTGATGCCAAGGCGGGGGAGCCAAGTCGCCGAGATGGTCAACAGACCCTTTCGGGGCCACGAGAGCCTGACAAGAACGACGGCCGACCCGGCTGCCTCACAAGTAGAGAGCGGAGAATTTTCGAAACGCCAGATATTTCCCAGATTGCCAGTGACTCAGAAACGCCAGAGGCCCAGCGATCGCAGCCCGGCTGCCGAAGTCGAGCGCACTATTGACATACAGGATATCTTCAAGAACGGGCAATCAAAGTACAAGATCACCAGATATCCTGGGAACAGCGAGAATTGGTGGATGCTATCGTGCGAGGAGCATGATAGGAGGTTCAACAGTCAGCGAGCACTCACTGGTGCGGGGATACACTTGGCTTCTCACCACGGCAAAAGGCTTCCTTAGCTGGACATTCGAGGATCTAGGGTATGCGCTACCGTCAGACTGGTGGAAATAAATGAAGGGATCACCTTCTACACACTTTCAGATTCGGGTTGCATCAAAAATAGAAAGGGGGCTTCTCGCAGAACTGCCACTGAATCCCAATCTAAAGGATCTCCACGCTATCTCAAGCATATTCGCCCAATTTCGATCAGGTATCACGATCGAGAAGTAGCAAGACCCGGCGAGGAGGTTGGCATTACAGTCAAATTGGAGCCGTCTCCAACAGACTGCGCCTGATCCTATCGTTGACCCTCAAGCAGTCATGGAGAGATAGCGTGGAAATTCTCAAGCTCAGCAGCACATATAAATAGTACTTGGGTTCTTTCTTCCAAATCCGGCCGCGGTCAAGGAGGAAGCACTCCGGAGCGAACACAACAGGGCATCCGCAATGTAGCTTGAGTATCCTCTTACAACTCGGACACGGCTATTTGGGGACAATTGACGAAACTGATTGCTTATAACGCAGAGGTCACCCGCTGCATGGTCTTGAGAGGCTTCTGGGAGTCTTTCAATGCCCATTAGAGCTCCTGTTTGCTGCCATACGATGGAAAAACTTAGCTTCAGACGACGAATACTTCGCCGAGTGCGTAAACAACTATCCCGACACACGCCTCTTCAAGCCGTACCGGCGCAAAGCGACCAAGATCGACCTCAGACACGTGATCCTGATCCGCACGGTAGCAAAACGGCTCATGACAAGCGCGTCGTCGACATGACCCGGGACTTGGGAGTGCTTCGTGGCTCGCTGGCGCACCACCGAGAGTTGTCCGATGATATACTCTCTCACCTTCTCCTCGTGTTGCAGAAGAACGCCCAAGGTCTTAAAGAGGCCTCTCAGCTTTGCGATGAGCTCGTGTATGAGGTAAATAGGCAATGGCGAGCGGGAATACTCCCTGGTACGGCTTTCTCCCCGGCGTAGAAGACGCTCCGATTCCTCAGTGAGACTTGTAGTAGTCGTCAGGAAACAACTGCAGTCATCCAGCTGGGTGCCTCGAATCCTGGTCCCCCAGTGTCCACCCACAAACCTCTCAGCCCTAGTTTTCTACAGTCACGTTCAAATCTAACGACTATCCTTATCGTAGTTATTGATCGCTCTCGGTGGAAACACAAGTGGTGTGAAAGTTGGACTGCGTGAGATAGACCACGCTCAGTGTGGCTTGTCACATGAGGCAGCATCAAATACAGTGTGGCTCATCCACTTGCAAAAGGTAGCATCTAGCATTTCCCGCGGCCATTCTCCTCCTGTTTCCTCCATCAGCCCATCCATCGCCCACATTGGCGCCGACGCTGTCTCAATCTCAACATACGAAATTTCCTACCGCGCTCTTACAGACGCTCTCGCTTTGCCTGGCCGGCACCAGCCAGACGTCGACATGCTGACACTCGTGCGCGCCTAGCTGCATATAGGACGACATTAGACCGTGGTTCATGGTTGTCGACGATGCGGACGACACCGGCTTGTTCTTCCTCGACAACGGGGCTCGCGAATCCCGCTTGCACTGTATTTGCCCAGCCAGGAGAGCCTCTGGTCGGCGAGCGGCGTGGCGATGTCACACTTATAGACGGGCCATGAGAGCGCTCATCACCCTTCGGCGTTGTTGTCAGACCAGGCCGCTCTTGATAAAATGGTCGTTGCAGAGGCCACGTGCGATGGGGATGCATCATGATCTGAAGCACAGAATCGGAACTAAGCTCTCTTTTAAATGGAAACGGCGGGATAGAGGACCTGCTAAATCAGAAGAGGTTGGGTGGGTTCGCTGGAGCTTAACGGTACAAAGCCAGCATCGGCCTCCCGTGGCTTGCGGGGTCTCGCAGAGGTCCAATGTTCCGGCATGCACTGAAAACTCAACAGATTAAGCGGATGGACGGAGCACGATAGGGTCGGAGCGTCGGCTAGAGGAATCATCCCATCGCCAGGCCAAACTGCGCCGTCTTCTTCTGGCAGAGGCGGACGTCAACCTGCATCGTCCCGTCAAAGAGTAAATGATCCCTTTCAGGGCAGGTATGAATTCAAGCTCTTTCTCCATGGAAAGGAACAACTCGGTTGCCGACCGCTCATTCCCCAGAGCGCCCATTCTCAAGCATCGCTACACTCAATGGCCGGGCAAGCATGGTAAGTCGCTGAGAACAGGTGAGATTGCAGCGGCAAAATCTAGATGAGGGGGATAAAAACTCACTACAGTCTTTGAAAAGCATGAATTTACACTCAGAATCGTCCTGACAAAGGTGGGTGTTCATCTCTAAGCAATGCCACATGGCCACCAATTCATGTGTTTTGCAGTCGAAGCAGGAGTTGGAGAATGGATCCGAAGCACCTCCAAAGGTAGCCAAGATGGCTACAAGGTAGGTACGTAGAAGACGTTGCATAATACTTTTCTGTTCTCAAAGTAGATTCGAAGCATACAGTAGCTCAGCTTTAATTGAGTGATTTGGCGTGGGTGCCGCGTGCTCTACAGGATGCTCGCCTGGTTTTGTTAAGATGTTGCTTACCGATTTATCTTACGACCCAGCATGCGACCGCATGCGCCTCTCACGTGTACTCCATTTTTACCTCCCATCATGAAGAACATGCCATGGCTATTCTCTTGCTTTCCGATAACGACACACCTGCCAAGTCCTTGCCGCGTGGTAGCCATTGCGGAAGGGTAGGACTGAGAGGGTGTGATGGCTCCGCCATCACCTTGGGCCTCTGCCTGGGGTGGCTGTTGCGTGAGGAACCCCCCCCCCCCCGGGCCAGGCCACCCATGACCTTTCAATGTGGCAGCCACAATTAACCATCACACAAGACTTGAGACGAGAGGGTGTGGGGGCTCCGCCATTATTGCGGGTACCTGCCTGGGGATATCTTGCGGTGTGGCAGCCATCACACTGAGAGGGTGTGATGCTCCGCCAGCGTCTGGCTTGGCACCCCGCTCTGCCAAGCTCTCTGTGGCCTCCGGCTAGGATGCCTGCACGCTCACAGCCACAGTGAAGCGCACGAGGCGGCTGGATCCGAGTGGGTGTGATTCTTGTACTAGTGCTTTGGCTGCTTGCCGTGTGGCAGTCACAGTGGGTCACAGGGAGCTGTGACTGGAACGGCTGCATTCTGCCTGTCAATTAGACTACCCTGAGCGGTGTCCGCATCGGGTTTCCTCAAGCATCAGTGAATGATGGGAAGTGCCCGAGTTTCATGGAAGTGGTGGTCCACAACAAGCGAATGCGGCACGTTTCGGTCATCAGGCTCGATCTCAACTAAGTCCAAGGAGGTTGGGGGCTTCCAGCGGCGGCCGATTGCTTACAAAGTGGCCGTTGACTATGGAGAATGCTGAAACATCCGATCGTCGACTCACTAATGACATGTGCGCTCATCATCCGCATCAGCCTGCTTCCTTGTATCAAGACCGCGCGTCATACTCAAGGAGCGGCCACAAACGGATAGACCCCGGGGCAGTGTGCTTGATACTATTTAATTCTGGTCAGGCTTGCGACTTGCCATTGTCTGTCTACCCAGACTACATAGGGCCGGTCTATGAGCGACGACAATTCTCCACCTACAAACCCACGCAATGAGCAGTTTCTTGCCTGGTCGGCTTCCAAGCCTTGCCGAATTTGATGCAGGCGTCCAATTGCTCACAAAGCGGAAAAAGTCTCTGCGCCGCGGTTGTTCCCTAGCGCATGGGAAAAGGTACACAGTCGAGCAGTCCGACTTCATTATCTATGCCCGTCACGAGATGAAGTGGTCTTGGAACAAAGTCAGAGACGCCTTTGCGATGACCTTCCGGCAGGAACGAACTGTTCCTTGCCTCCAAGGATGCTACTACCGGACTAACATGCATATCCCTATGTGGGACGCCGAGGGTTTCCTTCTCTTCGGCGAGAGAGACGCCACGAAATCTTTGCAATTCAATCTCAAAGGCGCACAAGCACCGCCGGATGAAGACGTTGGTCTCGCACGTCGGCATCCGGAGAGGGCTGCCTTGTACAGCTGGGTTCATCCTTCGGTGCAAAGCCAGGCGCGCGCTTGGGGTACGTTTAGCGGTGCCGAACCATAAAGTTTTCGCTAACTTTCTTTAGCGATGAAACGGCAAGAACAGCTGCGGGAACGCGGACAAAGACGGAAGGATGCCTTGAAATCTAGTGGAGCTGCGAAGCCTAAATACCCAGACACCCTGTCGTTGTAATGTCATTGGATGCCAGATCTCGTGAGTGCCGTCGTACTACTTGAGGTCCCAGGTATGATGGAGAGCGGAGAGGACCCGCGACCCAGGCGGATGATAATATCCGCCGGAGGATGTCGATATAGTTGCTGCCTGCTGCTCTGCTGCTGCGCCAAAGCTCATCCGCCACATTGATTGAAGCATCTACTAGTCCTGTGTCGTGAACTTTCTTCAGCCTATGGCATTGCCTGCACTCGTAACCCTCTGAGTATTGGCCAGCAGGTGAGTATAAATCCAAGTCCATGCCCACTTTGCTGAGTGACCTTCTCTCATTCATCGTACATCTTGAACTACAAACGACGACCCCGAGACTCTCGAGGGATTATAGTCATTCCTATGCCGTCCATCAACCACAAGGCAACCTCAGGCTCCGAGAACTCCGAGAGCAGCTGGGATGTGTATCTTATATTGAACTCAGATCTGAGTTATCTCAACGACCATGGAAAGCTTCGAGGCCAACTTTTCCCCAGCAATGTCAAGATCAGTATCGTCCCGGTAATCTTCACAGAGACTAAAAGAGCGCACGAAATAGAAAAAAAGATTTATCTTCGAGCAGCGACTCAAGTTGAAAAGTTCTACGTCGGCTCGCTTCTTGACACGCATCACTGCTTACAGGGCATTCAAGGATATGCCGTCTGGCTGGGCAGGTGTATGCGCACTCTTTACCATGCTCCACAGGTTCTCTGCGAGAAGAAATCCATGTAAGTTATACTCTGATGTTACTACGGTTTACAAGCACTGAGACGTGGTGAGGCTGGATGGGATTGCCTTTAAGAACCGGCCGAAGCCCTCCTTTATTATACCGTTCGGTGCTATGGTCAAGCCATGGGCAGGAAGTCGCGACTGCTCCAGCTCAATGCCCCAGGAATCTGGAAAATAGTCTGTGAAAATCTCGGCCTGCTTAGCTTGAACACTACTCAGCAATTGCACTCATACGGAGGCTCTTGAGCGTGTTGGGAAATCATGGTTTGCCTGAAGAGCCTATCCTGGACCACACACCTTCGCAAAACTGCCAGCTTCTGGCTTTCCTTCTGTAAGTAGCATCCAAGAACCCTGGCAAGTGTGCCAAAGTTGAAGAAATCCTTTAAAAATCCGAGCTATATTCCAAATCTGACACCAGCACTTCTTTGTGGACATATGCCTTCTGCATGCCCTTAGTGTGTCTCACACCTCCCCTATCCATTGTGAGCTATCGCCCGGTGTACGACGAGAGCCATCTGCTGACGAGGGAGCCTCACGGCGAAGCGCTCTCTTGCCATCTCACAACAAGCCAGTTCAGCGAACTAGCGTAATTCCATGACAATTTGGTCAAAAAAGGCTGGGTATGGAATGAAGGAGTGCACATCACATGCCGCTGTTGTTATGGACGGGAAGAACGCTGCTGGCACCTAATTCACGTCACACCATATAGTATTATTCACGCCCCAATATATCTTTCTTCCAGAACAAGATCAGAAGGGGTCTGCGCGGTCGCCGCTAGTTATCCTGGTACTTGTTTCACCCTACCCTATAGTCACGTGCCGTCGCAGAGATGGACCGCACGCTATATGTCTAGCGATGAAAGGACTCAATCACAAACCACAAAAGCATGTACTATAGTAAGCTTTAGTTATACTATAAGTCGTACACTCTTGCAATACCTTGCGTTGCTCTGTCCACTGGGTGCATATGAAAAGGAAACCGCTATCGTTTCTCGGGTCCGTCTGCAGGTACGTAGATCATATAGTGCCGCTTGGATGTGGTGTATAGTCGTTAACTCTTGCCATGCCCGTCCGCAGCTGCACAAGTATACTAGCCTCTTTGCGCCCGAGCTGATCATACTTTACCTTGGTGTGTTTCCCTGGTAGCGCTACGTCGATTCGCTTCGAGTACTTGCCAACCTTGTCGGGCAGTTGGTCGTAGGATGCTTCTGTCGGGACATGTTTGGGCTTATTAAATTCATAGCAGGGAGCTGCTCCGACCGGGTGACGTCTTCTCTCGTCGTCTTCCTAGCTTCTTCCTTTGCCTTCTTTATTAGCTCGTTCTCGCTACTCGCAGGTGACCATTGGATTCTGGTTCTACCCAAGTGATGTCCTTCCAGTGTGGCAGCCATAATTGACCATCACACAAGACTTGAGACGAGAGGGTGTGGCGGCTCCGCCATTATTGCGGGTATCTGCCTGGGGATATCTTGCCATGTGGCAGCCATCACACGAGACTAGAATTGAGAGGGTGTGATGGCTCGGCAAGAACAAACACCCCCTTACCTCAATAGGCAAGCCGGGTAGCAGTGTTGGCCAACACTTCCGTGAGGGTGTGGACGCTGCATGAGACCCCTGTTGCTCGTCGTTGCACTCACGCGTGTGAGCCATCAGAATCAATTAGGTTGGACGGGCTCACTAGCGCTGCAAATGCATATTTCGAGTTGGCTGACAACGCCGCCAGCACCGCGTTTACTTTTCCAAAGTCTCCACTGTGCCAGATCGGCAGCCTCATCAAAGTCAGATCTCCCTGACTCAGGTCGCCGTGGCCAAGTCCGGCTGTGACGTGGTATCACCAGGAAGGCGGAGCCCGTGCAGGGGTTCCGCCGGCTGCCCAATACATACCTTCGCTTAGTGGCAAGCCCAGCGTCTGGCCGCAAAGGCCGAAGACGGATATTGTGCGTACCTAGTTTGGGTAGGGATACTGCCCATTCTTGGACACCCCAACATGGTGCGGAGCGATTCGCCAGAGCTGGCACGCCCACCTTACCCATCTCCTGTCTTTCTGCCTCGTAGCCAGCGGCGGCCACTGTGAGCGGCGAGTGTGGGCAACCTTGACCCCCTGGCAGCAAATGGTCGAAAATGGGGCCAAGGTCGGCAGACCAGGACCACATGAGGATTTTTTAAGAGTGCACTAAAAGACCGTTCTGTGGTGAGTTTATCGTTCTTCTTGACACTACTGTATCCAACAGTTCAGTAGACTAGGTTCCGCCTGTCGCACCCGTGTCTTTTCATAGCCATGTCTTCCCTGATAGACGCTATCCCCTGGGAGGCGCTGATCACCTGGTCAAGCCTCGCCGTGGGACTCACGGCGACCCTGATAACCACTATCGTGCGCCGTCGCTATCTTTCTGCCATATCGAACATTCCGGGCCCGTTTTGGGCCTCCCTCACTCGGCTATGGCATGTCTGGATCATCCTCGAAGGAAGGCAGAACGAGCGTCTCGTGGCTCTCCACAAACGGTATGGCCCGTTCGTTCGCATCGCCCCGAACGAGGTCAGCGTTTGTCACCGAGATGCCTCCACGCTCCTTTTGCGAGCCAATCTACACAAGGTCGGTCCGAACAAGTGCATGGTCTGCCCGCGGATAACTGAGTAACCCCCTGCAGGGCGACTGGTACCACGTCACGGCAGTGCCCGACTTCCGCTTCCGGAACCCTATGTCGACGACCGATCCCCAGGAGAAAAAGGCGCTTTCGAAACACTTTGCCCCAGGATACGCCCCGTCGAAGGTCCGGGGATGGGAGTCCGATATCAACAGAAACATCGAGTGCTTGCTGTCTTGGATAGACGCTTATGCCGAGGACGAGAAGCCGATGCACCTTGATAAGTTCATCACGTACACGACATTCGACAACATAGGCTCCGTCTTTTTCTCGGAGCCTTTTGGTTTCATCAAAGCGGTACGTCATATTCTACAGTAGCCGGAGGTTGTCGTCCTTGCTAGTGACCATACTCATGGCTAGAGTCCCTCCACGACTTTGAGCTGACGGCAGCAGGGCCGCGATATAGGCGGAACGTTGCGGAACAACGTCGCGCTCAGCAAATTCGCAGCCGCCGCTGGTTTCTTCCTCGTGCCCCTGCGCATCCTTGTCAACCCGTTAACTAGTTGGATGCTGCTGCTGCCGATGGGCAAACTGTACAGGACCACGTCAGCGGCTTTGCGGAAGCGGATGAGCAACCCCAATGCCGGCAAGGACATGCTCTCGCACTGGCTTCGCGCTTCCAAAGTATCAGGGGCACTGAGCGTACAGGAGATCGAGGCGCAGGCGAATGTGAATGTGGGCGCAGGGGCGGAGCCTGTTTCCAGTACCTATCCCAGTTCCTCTTTCTTAGCCCCGCGCTGACTCCACCTTGAAGCTGCTATTCAGAGCGTTGTGTATCACATGATCAGGCATCCCAAGGCTTGGTCGACGGCCCGCGACGAGATCGATGCCGCTCGTGCCCAAGGGCGCTGCCAACATCGCGTTGTTTCGTCGCACGACGCCCAGAGCCTACCTTATGTACAAGCTTGCGTGAAGGAGTCGCTGCGCTTGTTTAGCCCAACGACCATGGGCTTACCTCGTAAGGCCCCGAAGGGCGGCATCACTATCGCAGGCCGACACTTCGCAGAGGGCACCACTCTCAGTGTTTCTTCGCAGTAGGTTTGCGCGCGGTTGGTGAGCCGGTTCACCACGGAAGGCTGACACCCACAAGTGCAGTGCACCTCTCGACGGACATCTGGGGAGCTGATGCTCACCAATGGCACCCAGAACGCTGGATGTCTGGCTATACAAAGGAGTTGGAGAAAAACTGGTTGGTGGTAAGTTATCGCACGATCTACGGACGCCGCGCCAAGAGCTAAGGTGGCAAGTTTTCCGCTGGGTTTATGACGTGCCCGGGGCGTCACCTTGCGCTGATGCAGGTCTCTAAAGTGGTAGCTTCTCTGATCCACTGCTACGACATCCGTCAGGTGGATCCGGACAGCGTGTGGAGGTACCAGGCTAACTTCACCGCGCTGACGCACTCGTGGCCGGTCTATGTGAAGAAGAGGATGGATTGAGGGCTTTTGGTATCAGTTCAGCATTGGAGATCTCTTTCTAGGCACCGAGTCAACAGACAAGGAGGGCGGCCATGATGGTGTCCCGACTGTGCTGCATTAGTTAGCGTAGCAGTAACAAAGGAGACCGCTCGGTGGCTTCCCCCTGAGTCAAAGTGGATACGGATACAGTTGTACTGCTACGCAACAACAGCCATCGAGATATCATCGACCACGCGGCGCGCGTGACGGAGAGAACGGGAACTATCTAGATGCGACGTTGCTCAACTATTTAGCTCCGGGCCACGAGACTATCGGTCGAGGCAGAACTCAAACTACGTACTGGAACGAAAACTGGATGCTCCTATCCGCTGTTCTTGTATCATGTCAAAAGAGGGAATCCAGCCCATAGTAAGTGTGCCTAGATGTAGTGAGCAACCGTGTCAAGCCACACCTACTGCATAGGAGGGACGGATGTGTGGCGATCAACAAGATGGAAAGGCGCCGCATTGTCGATGAGAACCAATGAGGCCTTTGTTCCTAGGCCACCTCACAGTTGCAGGATGACTTGATTAGCAGCTACATTAGCGTCGGTCCAACGCGGAGAGACTTTCTTGGCTTCACACGATTCTCTGAGGCACTCTACAGGGTGCGTGACCCCAAAGTGGAAGGTAGCTAGGTGATGAGGCTCATGAGCTGCAGATTTTCCTTCTCTAGCAGACTGTGCCGCAGACTGCTAAAATTGCCCAGAAGCTTATGCACGCTAGACGCAGTTTTTATGTAGCCCTTGATTAAGAGCCATTATCACAAATTAAAACACCAGCCTGGAGTGACAGCTGACTCTAACGAAAAGCCCCTTCTTCCCCCTTCCCCCACCCCTTTTGATGCTCTGGGAAGTCGGCTGAAGAAACAAGCTCGATTCAACAGGTCTAGGACTCTTTGTGGCAAGCTCTTGAAGTCACTAAGGTAGCATGTAGGGGGAAAGACCTGAAGGTCATAGAAGATTACGAGATTGGGGACGGATTCAAGGGCCGATTGGTTATGATATACGCCGAAACGTACCACACAAGACTCTAAAGACTCTACGGAAAGGATGGGCAGACACAGGACTATGCAAGTGAACGCCTAGGTTGTGATTGCTTGTATCTACACTATGAGTAGGCTCATCCCAACTGCGACAGATACAAAGCAAGCCGCGACAGTGGCGGCCAGGCTTCCACGCATGGTCTCGCCATGGCCCTCTTCGTCGTCTTCGTCGGACGGGCAATCCACGTCCTCCAATCCCCGACAGAAGACGTTGGTGGCGGAAGCAAGGATACTCTCCTGAAGTTCCGAGCTGACCTGTACCTCGCAGGGCTTCGGGTCTGGCTTGACTGACGAGAAGTAGGCACACCACTGGCCTGGGTAGCTTTGAGGGTATGGTTCGCCAATTTCGGTGATATTCAAAGTAACGCTCGGGAAGTCGGAGCATTGGGAATCATCTGAAGAAGCAACCAAATCAGGCTCTCGGCCACCTTCCTCGGTCGTAAACCGTACATAGTGGTGGAAATTTCCAGAATAAGGGTATATATATCGGCCCTCCCCTTCGGTGCAGTTAATCCACGTGAGACTCCAGCCGAGAGACCAATACGCCTCTGTGTCGAAGTTTCCACCAAAGACATGATGAACAAAGAAAGGCTCGCTATCAGAGGCGTTGGCCATTTCTCCCAAGTGAAAATTGGTCGTATCATTCACATCCCAGTCACTGATGCTCTGATTCCATTTCAACAAGGTGACCGAAAGAGACGGTGTCAATGAATAGGCGATGGTCGGGTTCTGGAATGCGAACATGACTGGAAACAGGGGTGAAGGTGCGTACGTCTCGTTGCGAGGAAAGACTTGATGGAGTTCCGTGATGCCAGTCGATAGATCATCAAAGTCGGGCAGATCGTCAGAGGCAGCCGTAGCGACCGTGCTGCAAGACAGAGCACATGCCCAGGTGACAAGCTGCAGCCAACGAGATAGAATAGCCATACTGATTCTAAATGAGGGCGGAATCAGTTAGGGGGGGAAGAAGATTGTGAGAAAGTAAGATGAGAGAGGAAGTGGGAAGTGGGAAGTGAGTACGGAAAAGGGTTCGTAGAAAAGGTGACAAGGCACATGTCTTTTCCACGCCACCACAAATCGCCAAGGTGTAAAACAAAGCAGCCTGGGCAGTTTAATTTGTTGCCGTCTTTTGTGGGTATACGAGTTATCCACCAAGGCGCATAAGAGCCAACCATGCTATCCGCGGAAAACAAGCCACCGCTGCAGCCGAGCCCTGCTAGTGCCTTGGCCCTATGACCCGGTGGCGTCTACCAGTTGTAGCCGTCTCAGGGGGAGATTACGGATCGGGTTTACGGATTAGTTCACTCTACTCCCCTCGTTAGGTTACGTTCTAATCTGTCCTCCAACAAGAGGACGTGCGAGCGAAGCGAGGCCAAGCCCCCCGCTAGGGGCCGCCGGAGGCAAAAGGCGCCGGAGGCATAAAGCGCCGTTGGTGAGGGCAGCCTCGAGGCCGCCTCCTTGCTCTTGGCGCGATCACGGGTGGGTGAGGTTCTGCAACGACTTACGGAGAAATACGATTTGCGAACCACGAGGAGAAGGAACCGGTTTATGACCGTCGAAACACTGAAAGCCCAGATCGAGACCACGCTGAGCACAACAAAAAAGTGATTCGAACTTGGCGAGCTCCGCGTCCTTGCCGTCTTATTTCTTCTCCTCCTCGCCCCTGGGGGCTCTCGACCGGCATCAATTCTTTTTCTCAGATTTGGGGATATCAAAGTCACTCTCGCAAGAGATCCGGAAGGAGGGCCCCATGGGGGTTATACCAGGAGCACGGGCGGCTTTTTCGCAGAGAGCTCGGGGCTAACTTGCGAGCCTATCATGGGGTTGCCGTGGGCGGTCTAGAAGTAAAGTGGGAAAGTGGTCGTCGTCGCTTCTTCTGGCATCCATTCTATTCCAGACCCTCCGTCTGCCCTCTTCCATAGCGGCTAAGGTGGCGATGGAACCGGGGCGATTCGATCCTACCTACGCATAATCTAGCTAAAAGCAATGAGAATTCATCTCGCCAAAAATAGTTAAGTGATAGGTCGGACTGCCTTGGCCGTGACTAGCCTCGAATTTATACAAAGCGGCATAAGAACAATATTGCTCTAATGTAACTGATAAGCGTCGGCGTTCTAAGCTGAGGCGAAAAGAGGCAGCCTTCTAGTAGATAAGTAGACCAAAATGGCCGAATGCACTGATAGTCCTAGACGAGGTAGCCTACGGGTTCACTAGTCTCGCATGTTTTTCCCGACGATAAGTCCCTCCCTACTCGCTATATCTCTTCCCAAGTCTGCTGTAACGGTCCAAGGCGTGTATATTTGCAACAGGCTATGGCGACTATGACAAGTATCCTCAGATGAGGATCAAAAGGGAAAAAACTATCATCTCCGCCCTGCTGTCGGCCTGATCAGGTCTATGCCGCACTGGCCATCGGATCGTCGGCATTGCCAGTTCCGTGGTGGGCCTGATCACGGGTAAGTGATGCTGGTCTTGATGTTCAGGCCGCGAAGTCCAGCAAGGCCTCATACGGGCCCAGCCCGTTACATCTGCTCCGCCCCGCTGTTACGTTCAAACGTACAACCACATGCGCCCCACTCTTTCTTCCAATTATGCCAGTGCAACCACCATGCGCGGGAATGGCTCACTAGATCACAATACTCCCGTGAGCCCTCACAATCATTACTAGTATATAAGAAGTTACATCTCACCATAGTCAGTCTCTATTCAGCTCCTTAGTTATCAATGCAATATCATTGTTTGTCTACGTATAGATCACCATCTACGGAAGGCCCTAGAATCTTTCTTTGCGGAGGATCCTTCCACCAGCTGTCACGCGTATTAGACTCGATCGCAAGGGGGAAAAAAACGGCTTGGCTGTCCTCAATTCGAAGGAGATTTGTTTACATGTTTCGCATGCCCGCATCACCGAGCCAGTCTTCCTCGCTGATGGAGACCTGCCCGTCCACAATCGGCTGCGCTCGGCTTTATCGGTGCCACGAGATCGATGAGAACTACTTACTGGCAGGTGTGCACCAGATGCGACTAGCTGGGCGTCCACGGCATACTTCGATGCACCTGACGGAAGGGCGCTCATCGGCGTATTGCATTAATACGTAGTCATGGCGCTGCCGTCGGTGACGGGCTCTGTACAGGCTAAGCACAAGCGAGCTAGTTGCCGGACGGGCCAAGGGCTTGCTATGCTGGCCTTGCCGCCTACGATAGATGGAGTCAGTGACATAGTGCAGAGGGGACGGGCCTAATACAGTAGGCTCCTGCAATCATTCATTAATTCTACCTGTCACTTTTCTCGGCACCCAAGTCTGTGCACTGCCTGATTGCAGTCGGCCACGCTTCGTCTACGTTGTCGTTCCTGCCTGCTTCCACTAGAGCCCTGGACTGGGGCCTTGCGATATGGCAGCCATGATACGAGGCTAGCGCTGGGAGGATGTGACGGCTCTGCCAATGCTGTGGGCCCCTGCCTGGGTAGTCCTTGTCCTGTGGCAGTCATCACAGAGGACCATTGTCGAGAGGGTGTGTACTCCGTAGATCTCAGTAGCTTTTCGCCATAGACGAGATGGGTGGGTGTAGGCGAATACGAAAGCACAGGTGCCTAATAATGACTCTGTGAATATTCGTTCCGCTTGTAGGGTATGAGATGATCCAATTCCTATGGATTTGGTCTCGTTCGGGGATGAATTGAGTCTGCTAGACTGGAAGACTGGTGTGGAATCGGCCGCTGTGCTGGCTGAAGAGCTCATGGACAGTTTTGCTAGGTCTTCCGAGTTTGCTCGAGGGAATTTCACACCCGATGTGTCTGTCTCAACGCCCTCTAGGGAGAGGGAAGAAAAGGACTGTCGAGATTTTTCTAGCCCTAACCCAATGGCCCAACCCCGTTTTGGCCCCAGAATGGGATGCATAGGAACCGACAGACATGCTTCACCAGTGGGCGAGAGCTAATCGCCTTCCGTATGACAAACTCTTTGCGAAATCAAGATGTCTTCAGTAGTCGCTCTTCGAGGATCGTTAGGTGCAACTTGTAGGGCTGTAGGGCTGCACAATGAAGTCCCTTCATCAGACGCCACAGCCTGCCTCGCCTAGCATGTTCCCGCAAATGGTTGGCCCCGAGAGCCACCCTCGCTTCTGTACTGTCACAGATGCATTCAAGCAAGTAACTTCTTGACAGGATATCGTAGGTGCGGGCTCGTCCAGGGTGTCCGGCAACAGGTGACTCATGGCAGCGGCGGAGCAGTTCAGCCTTCAGTTCGCCGTGGTCAGGGACGTACGAGCGGTCTCGGAAGTATAGGCGGTTATGGTTCTCGGTGCACTCGGATAGTGTGATACGGGCACGGCGTCGCTTGCCTCTGCGGATCGCTTCCCGAATAGATTCCAGGGTTTTATCAGCGGCATAGCCTTTATCAAAGAGGTCGGACAAGTCGGCAGGGAGTTCGGTTGGCAAGCGAGCGGCGTGAAACCTTACCCTCGGGTCCAGATTCTCTCTCTTTAGTACTGTCTGGCTCTGGTGGAGAAGGCGTTCATCCCCCTCCTTTGGGAGATCCTCTGACCTCCTGGTCAGGGCGTCGGGCTTGGCACCTTGCTTCCCGGGTCGGTAGGTGATCTGAAAGTTAAATCGTGATAGGAACTCAGACCAACGGGCTTGTCTTCGGTTCAGTAGCTTCGTTGTGGTGAAGTACTCTAGGTTACGGTGGTCGGTGATCACTTTGATCGGTGAGGAGGCTCCCTCCAACTCCGGGCGCCATTCCTCAAAGCAGCGAATTATAGCCATTAGTTCTTTGTCGTAGATCTCGTAGTGGCACTCAGTAGCGGTGTGCTTCTTCAAAGAAGAAGGCAACAGGTCGCAGTATCCCATCATCCCCCACCTGGGATATCACCCCAGCGGAGACGTAGTCGGAGGCGTCTGTTTCTAGGATAACATCCTTTTCCCAGTTAAACGGGGCTGGTATCGGGGCGGTGCTGAAAGCGGTCTTCAGGCCTTCGAAGGCGTTACGGCAGTCAGTAGTCCAACAAAACGGGACTCCCTTTCTAGTCAGACGGTTCAAGGGTGCGGTGACCTTCGAGTAGTCCCTAATAAACCTCCGGTAGAAATTGCCGAATCCTAGAAAGGCTTGCACATCGGTTACGCAAGTCGGTGTCTTCCAGTCTCTTACGGCCCGCACTTTCTCAGGGTCCATTCGAATTCCCTCTCGGCCGACAATTAACCCTAGGAATTTCGTCTCGGTCACGAAGAATTCGCACTTCGATATCTTGGCATACAGCCCAGCGTTCCTCAGGGCTTTCAGGACTGTTCGTAGGTGTTCTTCGTGTTCGGATCTCGTTCGGCTATAGATCAGGATGTCGTCTAAGTAGGCGGTACAGAAAACATCAAGGTGTTCTCTCAGTGCGTCATTAATATACCTCTGGAAGGTTGCAGGGGCTCCAGTCATTCCAAATGGCATAACAAGCGACTCGTATAGTCCAAATCGGGTGCGGAAGGCGGTTAGGTATTCTTCCCCTGCGCGGATCCGGATGTTATTGAACGCAGAGACGATATCGATCTTCGAGAAATATCGCATGCCAGCCAGGTTGTTTAGGGATTCCTTAATCAATGGCAGCGGGTATCGGTCTTTGACAGTGACGTTGTTCAGAGCGCTGGCATTGGGCCCAGACGGGCCTCCGGGACGACCTGGTGGATTACTGGGATGAGTTCATCCGTGACCAGCTGCAGTTCACCGTGTCGGTTGCACAGGACTTTGTTCGGCTCTGGGTGACAAACGCCAGGAATGAGTACCAAGGTGATAACCGCGAGAATGTCATTAATCTGATGGCGCGGCTGAGCACCATATTGAGAGTTGCTCTGGGATTGGAGCTTCCATATGAAGACCTGCCTTGAGTGGATCTGGGCCGTGGTATGTGTCAGTACCAGGTGGTGTAGGAAAGGTGGATATTCACTTTCTGTAAAAATTGACACTTGGGACAGCCTGGAGGGGCGAGGCCACCTGCAGTGGAAGGCCCTGTTCGTGACCGGTGTTACTAGCCTGCGGCGTTATTCGTTGTCGTGGCATAGCCAGCCGCAGCCCTTCGCAGGCTTGCTCACCCTTTTTGCTCGAGCCCTACTCACGAATTACTTGTATTGAATCTTTTCCGCTCCCACAGTACATGTAATCATCCTCGCAATGGGGCCTGTGTACAAGGAGGTGACTCGGCTGCAGCTCCTGGGCGACTTGTTCCTCCCTAAACACGAGCTCCACGTATGCGTCGTCCGAGGACGGCTTACCGATTTACGCGAGATAGTCGCGTCTATTCCCTCACCCCGAAGATGCAGGGTCAGCCGCATTACGTACGAGCATATTGAGCTGCAGCTATAAGTCATCCTCCAATCCCAACTTTGTGGCAACTGTCGAACAGTCAGGATGGTGAAGGGAGATAGCGTCGGAGTTAGGTTAGTCCGCTGACTGCTGACTTAGCCTGAGTTCGGCCGCTTTTCGCACCGCTTCCATTATAGGAGCCTTTGATCTCTTCTGCAAACGTTCCATCTCCACTAAGAAACTCTCCTTAACGTCCACTTCCTTTTGCAGAATCCTTTCCCTGGTCACTGCGAGCTCCGCAAGCTCCTTTCGGACTGTGCGTCTCACATCTATCTCATTACCGGCAAGAAGGGATACCACTTCTGACACCTCTATGAACAGCGCCTGAATAGCTTGAGCGTACTCTGATTCGCCCAATGAGATCGCCAGTAACTCTGCATGTTGGAAGTAGTTACTCATCCGAGACCAGGGCATAGGCGTACGATTAACTGCAGCATTTAGAATGCCAACCATCGATTCGGCAAGGCACTCGAATTTCGTGTCCGGAACATCCGGCAACAACCTGTTCTTGGTCTTGCGAAACAAATCGGCCCAGCTTGCCAAATTAGCTGAGCAGGCAAAGTCCCACCGGCGGCGGCTCAAAACGAAGGGCATGGTTCTCTTTGCATGGGCAAAACATGTTTGCTCCAGCAGACTTTGCAGCTCAGTCACGATCGTGTACTGCGTGTCAAATGGAATCATAGTGGGATGATCTTTATCAGTCGCCTCGTCACCTACTCGAATGCCTGTTAATCATGGGACAGATTTTTCACTTCTGCAGAACTTACCCTGCGGTTCCGTGTCTCCCTCAGAAATCAAGTTCTCCTCGCGAACGAGTTGGAAGTCCCTACTATTGTCGCTGGGAGCTTCTTCACTGATACGCGCCTCTTGCGCTACTGTGATCGTATTTGGATCAAGATCGACTTGAACGGGCATCCACCCGTCCGTATCCTTCGGCGGCGACGACAGCGCACCATTGGCCATCAGCCGTCTGACGGATGTGCATATCTCCTCCTCCGTGTTGTTTCTTTGTAGTTTCTTTATGATCTGCTTCGACTTGTATTTCTTCAACGCTTGTCTGATCCCGTCGGGGGTGGGCTCTTTGAGGCAAGCAGCCTTGAAATAAGGCTTGCTCTGCAGTATCATACTGATATAAGCATCGAATGAGTGTTGTGTCTCCCTTGATGCCGTATCGTGACCCAAGGAGTCAGTTTTCGCGTCGTTGGCTTGTGCTTGCTTGGTGAGGGCGCCAGTCTCCGGGTCGGCTATCTGGTCCAATGCAACTTCGCCTGAAACCTCATCCCCTAGAAGTCGACGATAGTCATTTTGAGTGGAGATTGTCGCCATGTTCTAGTCGGAGCCTTACAAAATGTATTATTGCAGAGCAGTAGAACGATTGAAGGCAGATTCGTTTATGTGACCTTCTTGTGAAGGCGGTGTTGAGGTCTGGGTATGGCACCCCTTCTAATACTAGCCACCATCACCTCTGCTCCTTTTTCCAATCCATGATTTTCCTTATGTCTCTTGACGTAATCTGTTCTTTTAAGTTGCTACTTACATCGAAGTATTGGTTGGAGCATGCGCTATGCGTCTGCCGTGTTTCATCCGTGCCGCTCAGTCCTCAATTACTATTCGTGTGCTGTGCGAGACAGCACAATGTCTCCGTGATTCTGACCATTGAGCTGCCACGCTCAATGGCTGTGGCTCTCTTTGCATAGACGCAGGGCAAAGGCGGCTTCAAGCATATCGGATATCAGCCAAGCCGATGATTTGCGACGTTCGAGTCAGACCTTGGAAGCAGCGGGGTGAGGCGGACTAGGGTCATTCCAAAGTCTTGGCAAAAGCGACCTCATCGCCGCCCCATCACCCCTCCCCCACCCCCGCCTTTACCCGTCCGAACCAACTTCTGCGACACCTCTCTGACTAGTAATCTTTCGCCTCTTTCCCCGAGGGATTCACTTCAGCTTCCTCGTTATTTTATAGCTCATTCTCCACATAGATCTGCCTTGGAACGCCAACTCCGCGATGTCGAGATAAGTTCAATGCCTGATCAACCGGAACATTGCGTATTCAAGGTTCAACAACACCAGCTGAATCCTTGCGCAGGGAATGAGGAAGATTTTGAGTATCTACAGGATTGTGCCATGCACGAGGAAACTGAACTGCATGCACCACCTCAAAGCTGATATCTGCTGTGATAATTGGAGCATGCGCTATGCGTTCGCCGTGTTTCATCTGTGCCGCTCGGTCCTCAATTACTATTCGTGTGCTGTGCGAGACAGTCCAATGTCTCCGTGAGCTCTAACCACTGAGCTGCAATTTTAAATGGCTGTGGCCCTCTTTACATCGACATGGGGCAAGTGCTCGTCCCCGTGTGACACGCATGAATTTACCGAGCCAGGCTGGCTACTTTTGGAGATACAGGACCCTATCAGCCAATTCACGGGCTACGCCAAAGTCGGAAGGCTGGACTGGCAGCTCTAAGGTGGCTGAAATCCAATCGAACCATGGCACATGAATAACTCACCCTCATTATTTGAGTCTGTATGTTCTGACCCGACGTGCGGCCACATGTGCCGTCATGCGGCCCGCATGTGACTCATCTCTGCACCACACCTTTTCTCTCCAGCCGCATTCACGCACGGGCTCGCGACGAGCCTCACTCATGGATCACCGTGATACCCTGCATAATCACTTAGTACAAGGGAGCCATGCTTTACCACAGGCAATCTCTACCTAGCTCGATACCTATCAATATAATATCTACTGCACCGGACTGTGATACGGCCGCTCAAGTCAAACGACGTCCTAGTGTAATTAGTTCATAAACCGACTTCTATTCTACCTACCCGGGAGTTAGTCTAGACCCGATCGTTACACTGTGGAAAGCATCGCCCGTGCTAGGATGAAGCTTCGCGCCTAACATAATATGCAGCAGGTCGAGTGAGCTCGATGCTTTCGCCGACTAGACTTGGCTCGAGGGTGGAGGCAAACAGAGGTTGCTCTACCATCTTTACCAAGGCAGGTGTAACGGCTATGCCTAAGCCGTTGCGCCAAGGGCAAAAGATCAGGCATTGATCGAATGACGAGCGATCAAAATGACCCCGCTCAGATCTTGCGTGCTGGCTTGTCGTGACCTGCAATCCGAGTTTTCTTTGCTAATTATCCTCAGGTTGGTCACCGCGCTCAGACCAGATCGCAGCCAACAGAGGAGAGAATCGTTATGTCGTTGGTGATTGGCAGTCGCAGTTGCAGTAGCGTGTTCCCCCTTCTCTCGTGCGGGAGGCCGTCCATTACGCGAAGACAGCAGAGACGGCGGCGCATAGGCCGAATAAGCGAGTTGCGTCTGAGCAGACAGTCAAGCCTTCGCTGGTGAGGCTACATGGCCGTCGGCAAGTGCTTGCTGTTTCTTCACGTCGACCAATCTGACCTGCAAACGTTATACTGCGTCCATCCGTTCCAAGCGAAGATGTAGGGGAGGCATCAGCGAGACCTTAGGAATGATGCAATGAAAATTGTCCAGGACTATCAAAACGAGCCTTGGGAGTCAAGATTCGATGGGTTCAAAAAAGTTTCTTCAGGGTCCCCGAACCTTCGCCGACTGAGTGATTATTCGAGCTGCATTTTCTCTCCGTCAAGTGTAACTTCTTCCACAATGATGCCGAATGAGTGACAAAGGGTCAGTTCGATTCTTATTCGCGATTACTGTTTCCATATATCACACCTCACTGACCAGCTTCCCAAGCGGCTAAGGGTTCAGCCCTATGATTGTCGTGTTAGAGGCCCGACTTTGACAGTGACGACATTGGGGAATGCCCATGTCAATCTTCGGAGGTACGACGTCGATTCAGCCCCAACCCCTAAGCTTGATGGAAATCGACGTAGGGGTGCTTCGTCGTGGACCAAGCGGTCCAGGCTTCGTAGCTGTCATGGAGTTCCCTCTTGTATGGTTGTCATGGTCCCTGTGCGTAGTCCAAAAGTGGCCGCCTGGATAGCTTTCCAAGGAAAAACAGATCCGAGTCTAGAGGACAGCGCCATCATGGCCAAGAGACCCGGTCCCGCCTTTCAAGGGGAAGTTTATACAGGGGAGTACCCCTCGATCCCGTACGGGGACCACGGTGGCCTCGCAAAAGGTGGTCCCATGGCAACTACGGAGGGACATAGAAGATCAAGTGAGTAACTCGCAGCCGATCTGCATATATGAAGGAGATGGATGAGGAGACAAAACGTTACCAGTGAAAGTAGGGCATGCTGTGTGAGACCCAGATGAGACATAACTCGGGCGAGAGTGTCATGGCCGCCGTCTCTTTCCACAGCACATTATAGACCTTCGCAACATGTCGGATACTTAAAGACGTGTCTTTTTCGAGTGCTTTGAGGGCAAGGATCACTCGAGACTCCTTTGGAAGTTCATCCATATCTATATGTGGTAACAATTGGTGAGGAATGTAGTTGTACGCAGATGACGGGGAAGGTGCGCCGCTCGGGGGTGTGCGCCGCTCGGGGGTGGATTACGTTAAACCGACTTCTATTCTATCTACCCGGTAGCTAGTCTAGACCCGAACGTCATATACTGGGGCTCTTAGTTGTATCTGCGGCGTCTATATGCCTTTCCCCAATAGTTGTATTTGTTCCCTGCTGGCGGTGCGCTGTTACCAGACTTCTTTCAAGTAGTGGTTTAGCTGTAGATGAACCCATTAAATGGAGGGTGAGTTACTGTGCTCCGACACCCCAGGTCACGTCATGTTTTGAGAGGGTAGAAGCAACAGACGCTGGAAGCACAAGCTTCCACACGCGACGCTATGCGCGATACATCCGCGACTTACTAAGCCAGCTCGCTACCAGACGGTGCATTTAGGCCCTGACTTGATGCCATCGGTGAACGACACTTACCATACCCACCGATGGACGTGTCGCACTCAACACGGTTATGTATCTCTTCTACCCCCAAGCATGCCGACTCTTGAGGAACAAGATGTGGCGCTAGAGGCTATATTTAGAAGCTCCAAGAAAAGTTGTATCTGGTCATCAACCTGTGGCGGGGCCGCGAGCGCACTAGATGTTCGAACCGCCGTGCGTCACACCGGAAACCAGACACTGAGCCGCCCTGTCTTGAGGAAATCACGACTCATGTCCAGGTTTGCTCGTCCCAAATACAGAAATTTAAAGCAGATGCACGCCGTCAATCTCCAAAGACTCTTACCGTGAATCATGCGGGTTACATCCTCCCAGAAACACAGCGAGACAACGTTGCCGCTCGCGGGACCTAACGAAGACGAAGAGGTCGAAGAACATCATCCTGCTTCTGATCTCGCTGCTTCATCCCTACAGAAGCCGCGCTTCCACCTTTCCCTAGAGGAAAGGGGAGTAGATCTGACCCCCAAGTTCTACGCAGATTCTCCCATGCTCACCCATAAAGTACGGTGTTCGCACTTCAACTGCGCTCATAGACTCATTGACTTCATACCAAGACAAGTCGTACCATTTCTACTTTCTTGCTGTGACATTCAGCCAACCCACGCCATTCAAGAGCTCCTCCAAAAACGTTCCAAGTATGGATGACTGGGACTTTTCGTCATCAATCCCTATCACGAACATCGAACCCCTTGCACATGCCGATATTGATAACGGAGATCATGCTAATTGCAAGTCATCCTTGTAATTCCTGTCCTTTATCACCACTCTCTCCAGCCCTGACCGTACATGTTTGGCATTCTTAGTACCTTCCAGTTCAAGAACCTTAGTGTCTCCGACGGGTTGGCGCCGAGCAGGTTTCACGCGATGCGTACCTTCTGAGATACACCACCAACCAGCCTGCCCCCACAATTATCGCGGAGACGAAGGTGGTCGGCAACTGGAGGTCGCTCATGGGCGGGGTATTGATCGGGATCCATGCCATAACCGATTTCAGCAGGAAGGGACTTCTCAATTAGCATATGGCAAAGACGTTCTCGGCTTGACTCACAAAAGTAGACGATACACCAGTTGGATGCAGTGGGACCGAACATACGACCAAAGCCAGGCGATGACGATGGCGGGAAGGGACCCCGCGACCAGAAAACACAGAAGTAAGGTTAGGCCCCAAAGCAGGCGAGACACGGTCCTCATCCTTGTGGGTGGTCTACCCGTCAGTGTCATCGTCGAAAGAGACACGAGATAGGCGTTCTTGAGCCAAAGAAACCAAGGGCACAAAACAGAAGCGAGGACTGGGGCTTTATGGTGTATATGGTGACGAAGTACATCGCATACTTTGTCAATAAGACGCTGGAAAGGGGACAGTGCGAGATTGTCGCGCGACGCTGTAGGCTGCTTTGGAGGTGCCGAGTTATTCATGGCGCTTACTGTTATTGATAAGCTGTCTTCTTTACCTTTATGTTATATGTGGCCGCCTGGAAATGGACGAAAAGCTTGGAGCAGCGACAAGGTCTCCAAAGCCGCAGGTTCCGACAGTTAATCGGGCGAAGCCGGCAGCTTCTGGTTATCAATGCAAGTGCATCACTTTAGGTCGGAACTCCCACCTGGCATCTTGTCAACGGAGTTGACAATTTGGGAGCGGCCATATCTCGGGGTGCTTAGTGCTCTATGATTCCGTGAGGCTAGATGAAGTTCACAAATGGAACCCCGTGCTTTAAAGCATCCGGGACACACAAGAGACACTCCAAAACCGTACACACCATGCACGCCGATCCACCAAAAAAGCGCGATCGCACAAGAGAGAATTTTTCGCGCGCGATGTTTCGCATGATGAAGCGCTGCGACGCGATCAGCAAGCGTTATCCGAACGCTGATATATACTTGCTCATCCGTCAAAACCAGCGACACTATCAATACAATTCGACGACACCCAACTCGAATTTTCCCACGCCGCCGGCTGAGTTGGTGAGTTCAGCTATTCAAGCCACCATTCAAAGTCTGACCATGGAAGGACATGACATATCCTCCCACGGTAACGCGAACACCGGCATCATTTTCCGAGGGGAAATCCTGCTCCGGGAGATAAAATACAAAGAAGAGAGAAGGATGACAGATAGGTGATGGCATGCATTGTACTCGAACAGGAGGTGACACCGAATATGTGTATGGGTTGGTGATATACTAGTTGTGCTATGGGATGGGTCGATTGAATTTAAAATGAGGCCACCTCTCCTAGGAACCACCATCATCCCCATTGACTTGCTCGGATTGACTGGTATCTTGATAAAAGAGCCCGCGTGCGACATCGAGTTTTTGCTCGGCTTTGCATCCCGTATCCTGGATTCATACTAATTGGGTACAAAGATCCTAACAATACGCCCTGAGTTTCCCCGACTCTATGTAAGCCGGGTTGCAGCACTTATTGTATTTTTATTTGAAGCGGCGCTAATGCACACTTTCTGTTCTTAGGCGACTAAGGCGTCGCGCTAGATGTAATGGCTCTGAAGATTCTGGATCAGCAGCCGGTAGTGTAACGGCTACGCCTAAGCCGTTGCGCCAAGGGCAAAAGATCAGGCATTGATCGAATAACGAGCGATCGATGCAGGCGTAATAGCTGATAGGGACCGGACCACATGTAGCCGGCTTTTCTAGAAGTCTCCAGGGGCCGTCCTACCCACTGGAGTGCAATGGCAAGGCTCCACAAAGCTGGCAGCCTTCCGGATGGCGATGGGTTTTCTCAGTTGTCCTGATAGAGGGCTTTGATTTTACCGGCCCAAGCCCAGCCTGCAGTGTTCCGTGGCCGTATCAAGGTCCATGCTGGCTCTTTGTGGACATTTCTGCAAGAGACGCCCATATCACCATTGTCACATCCGCCCCAACAATAGATGTGATGCTAGGTGTCAAGTCCCATGCATCTTGTGGCTCGCGGCGGAACCGGAACAGGACGGTATTGCCCGATTATGGATGCATCGTTATCCGCGATCAAAATGGTCCGTACCAAACTCTGACCTAGGTACCAAAGCGCAGCCCGATCTAAGATTCT